TGGATTTGTCCATGGAGAAAATGTCTCTATGGAGAATCTTGAAAGGCTCATTATTCCAACAGTACAAATATGAAAATTGAGGCAGAGAGAAGTATAATTTTCTCAAATTCACGCAGAAGTGAAGCCAGAAGTAGCACCCAATTCATGTGGAAAAGATCTAATGAAACATGCAATGTCAAGCTTACAGTGGTAATTAAATTGAGTAGTATAATTACCTAAATTACAGTACAGGAAGATAGTGTCATATTTACAAACCTACTTATATTGAGTAGGAGAATTACCTGAATGATACTAATCATATGGATGGCATTCACATACTTTATATGCTTTACTTTTCTAACCTGAAGGCTTAAAATGTATGAGTTTGAAACATAACAGGAACAAAACAAAATAAAATCAGTTTGAAGCCAAACCAACCCCAGGTTTAAATTCTGGCACCACATTTACCTATCTTTGTGTTCTTAGGCAAGTCATTTAACCTTTAAGTCTCAACGTCCTCATCTATAACAATTCGTGTGTGGAAAATGCGTATGTAGCACCTATCGGTATAGTTACTTAGCCTTAAGTAAATATGTGACTAAAAATCACAACTTATCATTTGGTTATTAAGTAACAATAATACAAGAATACCAATCCACTAGTTTTTAATCGATCTATTTTAGTACAAATTGTGACTTTCTACATTTTCTTATTTTTTTATAATTAAGTGGATTGATAGATAGCATATTAAAAAGCAGGGACATTACTTTGCCAACAATGGTCTGTCTAGTCAAGGCTATGGTTTTTCCAGTGGTCATATATGGATGTGAGAGTTGGACTGTGAGGAAAGTTGAACGCTGAAGAATTGATGCTTTTGTACTGTGTTGTTGGAGAAGACTCTTGAGAGTCCCTTGGACTGCAAGGAGATCCATCCAGTCCATCCTGAAGGAGATCCGTCCTGGTTGTTCATTGGAAGGACTGATGCTGAAGCTGAAACTCCAGTACTTTGGCCACCTCATGCGAAGAGTTGACTCATTGGAAAAGACCCTGATGCTGGGAGGGATTGAGGGCAGGAGGAGAAGGGGATGACAGAGGATGAGATGGTTGGATGGCATCACTGACTCGATGGACATGGGTTTGGGTGAACTCTGGGAGTTGGTGATGGACAGAGAGGCCTGGCGTGCTGCAATTTGTGGGGTCGCAAAGAGTCGGACACAACTGAGCGACTGAACTGAACTGAACTGAATGTATAATACAAGATTTCAATTATAGTCTGATAGAACAATGAAAATGCAGAGTTGAGAAATGACATAGTTTAAAGATTTTTTTTGTGCCAGCAACTGAGAAAACTGTACTGATTTTGATGGAGTATTGTGATTTATTGTGATTTGAAGACCACTGAAATAAATACATCTTTAGAAATAGAGTATCTTTCTCTTTAGCTTCTCTTAGTACTTTGAATTTACAGAAATTGAGATTGTTTATAAAATGAAAATGGAAAATATTCAAAATATTCCTGAAGTAGAATAAAACATAGCTATCTGTGTCAAATATGAAGACTTCCTATGAAATTATAATAATTAAGATGATGTTTTTGTCAAAAGGAGAGAACAACTGAGTGCATCAATAAAGCTATGCATGCATGGAAACTTGACATATGACAGAGTTGAAAACAATAATTTCTGGGAAAAAGGGTGGACTATTTGTTAAATGCTCTTGGAACAACTTATTACACAACTGGAATAAAGTAACTTTAGAAATTTTCTTTGCAGTATATACTAAAATCAGTAGTCTGAGTTAAGCACTTACTTCGATTTGAAATACAAACCTTAAACCTTTTTAAAAGAAGACATAGAAGAGTATCTTAATGGTCACAGAAGAAAAGTTTTTAATGAAGACATGAAAAAGATAGTCATAACAGAAACAATTGATAAATTTGAATATAATAAATTTTAGAATTTCTGATCATCAAAAGATACCCAAAAGATATCAAAAGATACCCAAGGAAAGGAAAAGGACACACAATAAACTGATAGATTGTAATAACAGCCATATAACCCCAAAGCATTAAATTAGCATCTGGAACATATTTTATGAGTCCATAAGGAATGCAACTGAACAACAAAATAAGGAATGAAATTATATCAAAAAACATTCACTGCAACCCAAAGATGTGGAGGCATTTCACAAAAGAAGAGATACAAATGGATCATAAACACTTAAAGATGCTTTACCTTATTAGTAATCAGGAAATGGAAAATTAGAACATGGTGAGATAACATTTATGGTCATTATATTGGAAAAAATTACTTATAAATCCAAATAATGACACTAAGATGTGGATCAATAAGAACTCTTACCCTCTGGACTGTGAAAATTGCTGAAACTTTAGAAAGTAATTTTTCTGTATTATCACGTTAAATTCAACATTCATACACCCTGTGGGCCACTGAAGGCAACTCCTGGATGTATACTCAGAGAAGTTCTATCACATGTTTACCACAGCACAACTGCAAGAATATTTATAACAGCATCAATTATAAAAGAAAAAACAAAATCATTCAAGAGTCTGAACAGGGGAATGGGTGGGTACACAGTGATATATTCACAGAGTGGAATCGTACACAGTCATAAAAAGAGAATGCCATGACTTGAATCAACATGGATTAGAAACCTAGATTTAATGGTGTGTGTAGAATAGACAAACCACGAGGTCCTATTGTATAGCACAGGGAACTACATTCAACATCATGTGATAAACTATAATGGAAAAGAATATGAAAAAGAATGTGTAAGTGAGTCACTTTGCTATATAGCAGTAAAAACACAACATTGTAAAACAGCTGTACTTCAATAAAGAAAGAGAAACCAAATAAAATGGGACAATATTAAAAAAAAGAAAAAAACATGTCTTATAGTTAAAAGCATTTTGTTTTGATAAACCTAAGAGACAAGAAGAATTAAACAGTAATTTTTAGGGCCACGTGGTGAAAAAAGCTGTTGTCTCTGTTTATTTGTTTCAAATACAGGCTTGTGCTCAGCGTGCTCAGTTGTGTCAGACTGTTGAGAGCCCTTTTCACTGTAGCCCGCCAGGCTCCTCTGTTCCTGGGATTTCCCAGTCAGGGATACTGGAGTGGGTTGCCATTTCCTCCTCCAGGGGGTCTTGCTGACCCAGGGATCAAACCCACATTTCTGTATCTCCTGCATTGCAGGCAGATTCTATACCCACTGAGCCATCAAGGAAGCCCAAATAAAGGCTTAGGGATGATAAACACAAAATTCAGGCTTGTGGTAACTTTGAGTGGAGTAGGCAGAGAAATGCAATATAAAAGGAACACTTAGCTTACTTAGCTTAATAAGAATATACGAAGATGAAAAGTGCAATAGGAAAGGAACTAATTTCCTCCTAAACAAGAAAATGAAATGATGCCATTATTATGGTTGTGGCCATTGATGGTCATTTAATGCATACGTACAATTTTTGTTTTATTATGTGCATGCATGCTAAATTACTTCTGTCATATATTAGGTAACTTCAATTAAGATTTTAGAAGGAAAATATATTTCTACAAAGCTGATGTGATTAACATAATATACAAACTCAGTATTAGCATTTAACAAGTATTAGTGAAAATTTTGGACGGCAAGGAGATCAAACCAGTCAATCCTAAAGGAATTCAACCCTGAATATTCATTGGCAGGACGGATGCTGAAGCTGAAACTCTAATACTTTGGCCACCTCATGCAAAGAACTGACTCATTGGAAAAAGACCCTGATGCTGGGCACAATTGAGGGCAGGAGGAGAAGGGGGCAACAGAGGATGAGATGGTTGGGTGGCATCATTGACTCAATGGACATGAGTTTGAGCAAACTTTGGGAGACGTTGAAGGACAGGGAAGCCTGGTGTGCTGCAGTCCATGGAGGTCACAGAGTCAAACAGGACTGAGCAACTGAACAACAATACCAGGGAAAATTTTTGATCTTGTTTTGAGGAAATCGGAATCACATATTTGTAATGTAAAATCAAAGTATTAAGGGCAGAGAAAAAGCATAGTTCAAAAGAAGATGGACTCACTCTGAGGTAAAATGGCCAAATAAAGCTCTGTGAGTGCAGCAGTGGACTGAGGGGGCACAGAATGACCTTCCAGAAGGAGCTTCATCAGTAGCTCCCTGAGTATATTTTAGGTTGGTCCAGAAATTGATTGCAGGGGGCGGGGGCAAAGTGGGTGTTGTTTGACCAAGACAGTTACTGAATGGTCGTTCTAATTCACAGAAACTCTTTATAAACTAAATACCTTTGAACAACCTAACATGATACAGTACTTTCCCACCTATTTTTTTTACATGGTGTGTCCTAAAATGGGCTTCCCAGGTGGGCTAGTGGTAAAGAACCTGCCTGCCAGTGCAGGAGATGTAAATGACGGGGCTTTGATCCCTGAGTCAGGAAGATCTCCTGGAGGAGGAAATGGCAACACCCTCCACTATTCTTGCCTGGAGGATCCCATGGACAGAGGAGCTTGCAAGGCTACGGTCCCTTGGGTCACACAGAGTTGGACACGACTGAAGCAACTTTGTTATTGTTCAGTCACCCAGTCGTGTCTGACTCTTTGCTACCCCATAGACTGCAGCACGCCAGGCTTCCCTGTCCTTCACCATCTCCCGGAGCTTGCTCAAACTCATGTCAATTGAATCAGTGATGCCATCCAACCATCTGGTCCTCTGTTGTCCCCTTCTCCTCCTGCCTTCAATCTTTCCCAGCATCAGGGTCTCTTGAAGCGATTTAGCACATGTCATAAAATACAAAATACAGGACTTGGTACCTTCTGAATGTTTTAAAATTATTATGAACATGGGCCCTGATTAAATTCAATGGTGACTTATTTTCATATTCATTCTTTCACAGTGTATTTGTAAAAGCTTTTGAAAAGCCATTTTTTCCACTGATGACCAGAATGAAAGAAAAAAATTTGTCCATTTCACTTTCTTTCTTTCTTTCACCTGTTCCCTTTCTTTGTTAAAGGTGAAAGTGTGGTTCCAGAACAGGCGAATGAAGTGGAAGAGAGTAAAAGGAGGACAGCAAGGCGCTGCCGCTCGAGAAAAGGAACTGGTGAATGTGAAAAAAGGAACACTCCTCCCTTCAGAGCTCTCGGGAATCGGTGCAGCCACCCTCCAGCAAACAGGGGACTCGCTAGCAAACGAAGACAGCCACGACAGTGACCACAGCTCTGAGCATGCACACTTATGATATAGACAGAGGGCATCAGCTATATTCTCAGGAAAGAGATGTTGTGATGGCAAGCCTTACTCAAACATCGTTTACACAGAGAGAGGACTATGACCTTGATTTTTAATATTATTAAATTCAGGCATCCCGAGTCTGTTTTTCATGATTTATAGAGGGTTTACACTAAGTGCCACTTATGAAGGATGCTTCCACAGAGAAGATGGAGGTGAACTTGCTTTGAATATTCCAGAGGTATTGGTCGTGTGTATGACAGTGAGCAGCCTTTGTGTTTGCTTTTGCTTGCACTGAAAATTAAATTGCTATCAAGAGCAAACTATGAAGCATTTGTATTGAAGGTGCCTCCAGAGTGAAGATGCAGAAGATGCATTGGCTTTGAACATTGCAGATGTCCGAGGTCATGTGTGTGACAGTGGGCAGGTATTTGCTCTCGCTTGCACTGACAATTACATTACTATTCAAGAATAAACCATGAAACATTTTTATCCCGAACAGCCACAGTGCCTGAAATCATTCTTAAGTGGGTTAAAAAAAAATGTATTTTAACTCTGTATATATTACCCTTAAGTCATTTTCCTGTCTTCACTACGTTTAGCAATGCATTCATATTAGCTGATGAAAATAGCCACTCACGATGACAAACGGAACCAGCTTCTTGTATTTTTATATATTTTGTCATCCCAGAAACAATCAGCACGTGCTTACTTGTGTTCAAGTAGAGAAAAATACATTAGAGTCTGATAGGGAATATTCTTGTACCACAGACAAAACAAATCTTATGTTGCATTTTCTATCAACTGCTGCTAATACATTATTATAAAACTTACCTAGCTCCTCAATTCTTCCTATCTATAGCTTGGAAAAAAAATTTAGGATCATAGGCAAATCAGTTACTTGCAAAAAAGAGCTTTTGTATGACAAACACTGTCTGATTTTATTTCTATAAAATGTTAGCTGTTATGAATATGATTTAATTAACAAGAAAAAGTGTTTCCCCCCGATTGGTGATGGTAATAGACAACTTGCAAAACAAAATTGATTCCTCAAGTTGGTAGAAGGTAAAATTCTGAATGTCTTCAAATTAAGTTCAGTGAAAACACATTTTTTTCCTATGTGATGTATTCATGCAGAACAAAAATTTTTGTATTTTGTAAAAAAAGTGTTAAATAAATGATCCTTTGTAAATAATTTTGGTCTTCCTACTGTGATTTCCTATATGTTTACAAGCTTTAATGTAAATACTTAAGAAACTCCCCAATTCGTGTGTACTTGTGTAAAAGCAGATGATCATAATTAGTGAATCATCTACATTTTTATTTCTGAAATTTTTTATTATGAAAAAATCATTGTGTAATAAAAAAGCATCTGAGAATAGGCATATGGTAAACCATTTCCCTGAACTGAAGAATATGCCAAATAGATTTCATTGTGTTTTATGAAATAAAAGGAGAAAAGTAATATTATTCACCACAATGAGAGAAACCAGTCATACATTTTTAAGCTTATGTATAATAGTCATGTTTCATCCAATGATTGTTTTTACACAAACATAGCCAGAGTTTTTCATGTGAAAATAAGCTCCATAAGCTAATCCGAATTCTCAACCCTAGAGGAAATTACCGGTATAAGAAGACCAAGACTATACTGACTTAATGTGCTTGGTATCATGCAGATTGTGCATACATTGGATACATACATCCTACTTAATAACTTTATGGCACTGTTCTTCATGTGTCCCATATTTTAACCACAAATATATGGAAATATCCAGCAGTTCCTCCTACCCCTTGATTAATTAGAAATAAAAATAAAGAACACTAATCTGTAGAAATTTCCCAAAACCTTATTATTTGATTTCATTTGCTTTAGAAATGTGAGACTGATAAAAAATAGATTTGGTTGATTTTAATTTGCTTGGTCTAGTATGATATATACAGAGCATTCAAGGAATAAAATGACTTGATTGTTTATATCACATTTTTCCCTTTGCATAATAAATTTTATCATAGCAGTTAACAATATTTCTAAATTAACTGGAGAGGGCAGGGCTCAGATTAATATCTTCCAGGCAGAAAACAGACACTCTTCTGTCAATTACTTGAATGAGTACACATTACATTTGTACCGATGACATCTACTTGGGGGGACTGACTTTCTTTTTGTAGGATTTAAATTCAAAGCATCTCGACAAATTGGAGAACTGGAAAGATAAAAATTAAATTGAGTTTTATAGGGACAAAGTGGAGAATAATTCATTTCAGCAGGAAAATAATTTCCAGAAATAAGAGGAAAGTACAGCTTAGGAGTAGCTAAAAGGAGAGTTAAGGACTATGGCCAAATAGAAATTACAATTTAGCATGATAAATGAAGTAGGAAAAAGTAATTCTGCACTGATATGACATTTAGGAAATGTGAAGCATTTGTATTGTGGACCATGCCTTTATTAGAGAGTTGTGAGCTGTTCTAAAATGATGTAATGAAATTTGGCTACCGAGAATCACCAGGCAGGATAGGCCGCTGGCTGACCAAAATGGGGCATCATTTTTATCCACAGTGTATGAAAATGGTCCACCATATAAGATGCTCGAACATTTTAGCAAAATAACGACACACTGATAGGTAAGCACGCAAGCTAGATTAATTTTAATTAGGAAAACTCACAGTCTTTTTAGGATATTTTTGTCTTCTCTTAAAAGAGGCACCTGTTTGCCAGACAATAACTCAACATCCTTCTAGAATTAAAATCCTGTAAGGAAACTTAAGACATTCTCATATAGTACCAGGTTTAATTTATTCCAGAAATGACAGAATTTAAAAGAACTTTACTTGTTTTGATTCTCCACTAGGATCCTGGCTTTCCATGGTATGTTTTCACGTAATGCCCTTTCCATATAATTCTGTGTCAAACTTTCTAGCTCCGTAGGAACTTATAATGGCATGAAAGTACCTTTCTCTGAAAATAGTAGGGAGTCATGGTTAGAGTGATTTTTCCCGCAGGATTTAGAGGGATGAACACTACAAAGCTTTTCCAAAAACTGATACACACATTTTTACCTCATTATTAATATGATCCCAATTACTTCCTACTTCCCATATTCACCTACGGTTGTTAGCCTATATGTTCCTCTTCAGAGGCTTGAGAACCAAGCTTGCCTTTTTTTTTTTTAAACAAACTAAACTCACTTAAAATAATCCCAACCACAGTTTTAATATACTCCTGCAGGACATTACATAAAGTAAGTGTGGGAATGACTTGTGAAATGTTCAGTTCGACGACAGACCAGCACAGGTCAGACTGATGAAATGAAATGGTGCCTCACTGTCACCGCACTCTTCAGTATCCTCATGAAGACTCTAGCAGAATCCTTACTGTTAGCCCGATCACTAAAACGTATTAGTGACATGAAATTGTGCAGGCTTCTTTAACTGCATTTATGCTTACTTAGCAATGTTTAAATCATCTGTAGATGTTTCCTGAAGAGAAATGCTGTGCATGTGTTCTCAGAATATACATAGGTAACAGAAACTTTTTATTTATATTACACAAATTTTAGAAAGTATTTATCAGTAAAAATGTATATTTTGAGTTAATAGTTGAAACATAGCATACACGCTGCTCTGTAAACTGTTTGGTTTGGTTTTAATAATATAAGCATATTTAATACCTAAATAGTATTCCCTTAAGTGAATGCAGTATGCAATATTTAATAAATCCCTTATAGTGAATATTTACTCCTTCCCCCCAAGTATTCCCTACATAATATTGAAATGAACTACTTTTTACATTCCTCTTTGCAAAATCTAATTTTTCCCTTTAAGTGATTTGATAAGAAGTAGGTTATTTGGGACAAGGAAGTATGCTCGCTGTTACTAATTTTTGTAGATTGCTGATTTCCCACTTAAAAATATCCACTTACATACCTACTACACTTATTCTACTATATTTATGGCAAAAATAACCACCATAGTTCTTATTACTTTTAAGCTGAGGGAAAAGCATGTTTTAATTTGCTTTTAATTTCTAATAATGTTGAACATCTTATTGTGTTTATTGACAATTATATTTTCAAAATCATTGCTTGGATCCTTAGTACTTTTTAATTGGCCTGTTTGTTTTTCTGATAAATTGATAAGGTGTCACATATTAAATGTATTAATTTTGTCATATTTTACATGCCTATAAAATTATGAAATGAAAAATTCTCAATTTTACTATTTCAGTTGCAAAAACAGTAATGAGTATAAGAAAAAAAGCCTCATTTCTTATAAAAAACAATAGACCAAATGAATGTATATCTTATTTTATTCACAGTCAATGAAAGTGAAAGTGAAGTCACTTAGTGGTGTCTGACTCTTGGCAATCCCAAGGACTGCAGCCTACCAGGCTCCTCCATCCATGGGATTTTCCAGGCAAGAGTACTGAAATGGGTTGCCATTTTCTTCTGCAGAGGTTCTTTCCGACCCAGGGATCGAACCCAGGTCTCCTACACTGTAGGCAGACACTTTACCATCTGAGCCACCAGGGAAGTCAAAATTTTCACCTTTATTAAAAATTAAACATTTTAAATTAAAAATTAAACAAACATTTTAATTGAAAACTAAACAATAAAATTTTAAATGTAAAAATTTAGATTTAATTTAAATTAAAATTTTAATTTAAAATTTTCAATTAAAAATTAAAATTCAGCCAATTTTTCACCTTTATTAAAGCATCATTCTAAATACATAATATTTTCACTGTTCCATGTAACAAGAGACCATGCATATGATATCTTGATATTAACAAATGTAATAATTATTAAAAATTTTTAGACTTCTGGCTTAAGGAAAATAGTAGTAGCAAAAACTAATCTCAACATTTCCATTAAAACATTTTCTCCTTCTACTGGCAGTAGTATGCTCATGAAAATATACAATAAACATGTTTTTCTCTCTTAAAAAATAGGAAAATTTAAACTCTACATAATGACATGTATTTTCTAATAAGAAATACTTTACAAATG